AATTGTCTATTACACTTAGTTAATTTTCATTTGACTTTACTGATTTATTTATTTAGTTTTTTATATAGTCATTTTGTTATTCTATAAATGTACCTTATTTTTAGTCTTGCGGTCATATGACGACTATTTTAATTAAAAAAATGCAATATATAATAATATTAAAATATAAAATTCTGATCATAATATACTCCCAGTAAAATATACAATAAAATGAGTTAAATAATTGAAATAAAAATTTAAATATGCTCACATCAAATTAAAAACGTATATAAAGGTTTTTTTTGCTGTTCAATAGTATAATCTTAATACCCAAATAATTATTTTGTGGCGTGGATGTTTATTTCGCTAATGCATCACAAAATACGCTACCTTTTTGTATTTAAATTGCTGACCGTAATCATGATTGTTCACAGAACATGAATTGCAGACTGTTTTAGTGCTGAGAAAATATTTATATGCTTGACTGATTTATCGGCTGTTTTCTTTTTGCTAACCAAATTTTTAAATAAAATGCCAATTGTTACTTCTTTAATAAATTATTTCACTTTTTCATCTACCAACTTTGTTTTCTTTATTTTCTCTTGTTTATTCATCAAAGTTTACAGTATTTTTATGTTCTTTTACAAATAATCTAAATACAAAGATTATGTAGGTGTTTCAAGTTTTCTATGTTTACTACTAAATAAGATGTTCTGAACTAAAATTGTGACACAGTACGCACTGTATCTCACTTATTAAGGAGTAAGCGAAATTTATTCAGTCAATACAATTTATTGAATAAATTTATAGACAAGTTGGCTTACTAGTTACAAGCATATAAGAAAGTCGAAACTCTGTGCTTATAGTTCGGCAATCTATTACGGGAAACCTTGTACCGAGAAAAGAAGAAGAGGAACCGGTAAGAAACTGCAAGTGCTGCTTTTGCACCCTGTTTAATTTCGTACTGAAAAACAAAAAATGACTTCGTTGGACCAAAATGTCACTTTCCACCAAAACAATAAAAATATATATAACAGACAAAAAAAAACACAATAATTCTTTCGTCAATCGACTCATTTAAAGCTTATAATAGTTTAATAGTAATCTTGGACAGTAATCACACTTCCCGTGGATAAAAAACTATTTAATTATAATTGCAAAATGTCAACTTTACAATATATATGGAAATAATTATAAAACACGATTGATATTATTGTAAAACTTTTAAGATATATATTTTGGTACTATAGTTCTTAAAACTATGTAAAATTGTCTAGAGGAAAAAGAAACATATTTATCGAGGTACAATCATATTATAAAATAATATTCATACAATATAAATGTGAAAGTTTGTGAGGATGGATGTTGGTTACTCTTATGTAAAAACTACTAAACGGATTTTGATGAAATTTGGAATACGAATAATCTTTTACCCGTGGGAAGCGCCATCATACGCTGGTAACATAGGTTATAATTACTATACTGACGCAACGGAGTCGCAAGAACAATGATACTTTTAGATGTCCAACAAAATACGAGCAAAAGATTGCTTAAAGATTTATAATAATTGATAAATTTACGCCACTTAACAAAATATTATTTTCTTAAAACTGGCGTGAATTTATCAATTTAATTAATAATAATCATAAATAGGGTTGGTACGTAAGTGTGAAATGAATAGAAGTGTAATAGGTAATAGTTTAGCAATGCCCCTAAAAATGGAAATTATATTACATTATTTAATAAGTAGTAGTTTTGTAGCAGTTTCACGAAATACTAACTTTTAATTAATATATATGACTTCAATGTCGATACAAATATCGATATCATGGGTCGCGCCCTATGACAGTCCGCCATCGAAGAATTTACATTTCAAGTTTAGGCATATACGCTTTTTTCGTAGGTATGGCCGGTCTTTTATGTCTATGAACCAAACCAACATGCAGTGTCATTTTCATAGACAAACAAAAAAGACAAAAAGTTAGACTAAACTCTTAGAGTCTGGCAAGCGAAACGTGTCACAAGAAAAGGGCGGCAATTTCAAAAATTCTTAAGCAGTAAACACTGAATGTAGTACTGCAAAATAATTTTGATACTTTTATTAATTATATTTAATCTTAACATTTAGATATCAATTAAAATTATTTGTTTTGGAACATTTGACTAAAGCGTGACTGTTCTTAATTGTACAGTTAACAGCATATCAGTAGGCCTATTCACTAACTCAACTGACAACCAAGAATCGTCATCACCGTAAAAAATAGACACTTTGATTGTGTCAAAATCACTATTTCGTATTCTCTATCAATGATGAGCAATTTCGAAATGTCAATATCGGCATTCTCCACTGGACTCCATTTTGACACTTGATTTCGTATCGATAAACTGTATTAAAGTAACATTGTTGCAAAGCATATTTGAAGTCGTCGCATAGTACCTCTTAAGCCATTTGTTGTTAAATTAAAGCGAAAAAAAATACGTATCCAATATTTTTCTATTATCTGACTGACGGACTAAATCGAATCTTTTTTTTAACCCATTCGTTATACCTATTGGCTAACAGCACTTATAATATTAAAAATTCATATTTGTCATTAATTAAAAGGGTGTTTTTTGCAACGACTTCTTTGTTTTTTTGTAATGAATATGGGCGACTCTGGCCACATTTTTTTAATAAATGTGATGTTAGCCAATTTTGATTTCTGGCCCTTATATTTATAATGTGTTCATAACACATACATGTCTCCTAAGGGATTTTCATCACAACCTTTTGCTCTGATCCAGAACCACTATCTATCAAATTAAATTAGTCAGTATAAACACCAGATTACAATAAAAAAAACATTTATTTTTGTTACAATTAAGTGCCATGGATAAATTACATAATACAGGTGTCACAAAATCATCATGTTAATCACAATAGAAAATTTAAGATAAGATTTTGACTATGAATCAGACTAAAAATACTTTAGTCTGATTCATAGTCAAAATCTGTTTCTAAATATTCTACACCTGATAACAATGACAAGGAATCATCAGAGTCACTCTCTTCACTACTGTCTGCACCAACAGATATAATAAATTTTTCAAGTTCGTTTTCAACAATGCCATCTTTTAATTTGTAATCATTTTCGACATTTAAAACATGATCAGTGTATTTCTTCCAGTCACTAGGGGTAATTAAGTTAAAACACTCTATTATTAAGTTTTCCATTTCCTTTCCTGGTATTCCAATGTTTCTGCTTGCAATTTTTCTTTTTGCTTGACTCCAAACCATCTCTATTGGGTTTAAGTCACAATGATACGGTGGCAGCAATAAAAGTTCATGATTATGTTCTTTTAAAATCTCTTCAGCTTCATATACAGGCAATGTTTTCTTATCATTAACCAAACACATTAACTCTGCCTTTGTCTGATATTCCTCAAAATGTATTCCATTATTTACAAGCCATTTACGGATATCTGCTTTGGTATTAGACATTATAGGCGGTTTATTGATTTGTTTTATATGGTAGCTGGCATTATCCATAACAATTACACTGGGCTTACTTAAATTTGGTATTAATTTTTCTCTGACCCATTTCATAAAGTTCGATGAGTTCATATCATCATGATAATCAGCAGATTTGGATTTACTACTGAACACTAATAATGCACCAGGCACAAAACCTTCCTCAGATCCAGCATGCACAACAATATGCCGTTTTCCAGAGGATATCTTTGTAGTGACACCAGTTGTTGAAGGTCCTTGCCAAGACTTTTTAACTTTATAATTCTGATGTACATAAGTTTCATCAAGGTACACAATTTGCTTTCCTTCGTTTCGTTTTATATTTATTTCTCTCAAATACTTGTGCCTCCATGCAGAAATCTGGTATTTTTCTATAAGCATAGAACGTTCATTTTCATTGCTTTTAAAAGAAAATCCATTCTTAAGCATAATTTTTCGTAAAGTCTCACGGCTACCACTGAATCCTATTGCATCTTTTAATTCATTGTGAAGGCTTCTTAATGTTGGAACAATTTTTTTCACACAGTAAAATTCATTTACTTTATTCCGAATTGCACTTAAATCAAAATTATCTAAAGCAGACACTGTTGGTTGATGAGGTCGTTTTTTCCCAGGAGTGTCCCATTTTCCTTTATTAATTAATGCTTCATTTTTTATCCTTCTTAGTGTCCTTATACTTACATCTATAAAAGATTAAACACTTTGAAACAAAGATATGTTAAATGTATTTAAAAGCAAATAATGATAGACACATACATCAAAATAATTTAAATACCTATTCAACTATGAATGCAATTTATGTTTAATTTAGTTAAGTTTATGTGCATATTTAGCATGTATAACAATTACATGGTTTGATTAGTTTCATGAATTCTGTGAATTTCCTTGTTAAACAAAACATTCTTATGACATCATTGGATGTCAACAATAAAAACCAATACATCATAAAAAACCTATGTAAATATTATAGGAATACTATCAATCTATCTTAAATCAAAACAAGAAAAGAGACCTGTCATTGAAGAAATTTTTTGTAAGTACTGCGTTTCCGAATTCAGCATTTCTTGTTTTTCTAAAGTTTTTATTGCATTTATCTCCTCCATTATTGGTTGAATATCACCATCACAGTTATCTGAAATAGAGCAATATTTTATAAAAAATATCTGTTTAGTTAATTACAGAAAATTAAAACGAAAGTATCAAAATTATAATACAAAACTAACCTAAAAAAGATACAACTTTATCTAATCGTTGTAATTTCTCCATGAAATTTTTATTTAATTCAGTTTTCACTTCAGTAAACTTGTCAATCATGATGGAAAGAAGTTTCCTCGATGAACTTTTTATCGGCTTCGACATAATTTTTAACCAAAAACACAAGTTCAAATTCGCAAAAACAACAAAATTCAATATTCTTGAATTGTCTAACGTAGTGTCAAACTGACAGTTCTATGTTGTTGCCATATGAAAACGGAAAAATAGGTGGTGTCACGTTTCGCTTGCCAAACTCTACAGCCTATTGCCTACCTACTCTTTTTCTAAATTTAAGAAATACATGATGTGACGCATGACCAGACAGGAGAACTTTAAAAAATATATCGATTTTGATACGAATTTGATATCTGAAAATAAATATCGAAAAATGATATATCGCGGGAAAAAATATCGATGTTTTGATATATCAATAGTTGTTGCCCAATCCTATCTCTATCAATGGACGACATTCAAATTTTAACGACTTTGTTTATAATTGGCATTTTTTGTAGAATTTAAATGTAGATCTTTTGTTCGTTGTGCTATTTATTTAAATTCTGTTGTGATGGTGTAAGTTAAATAACGAAAACAAAAACGTTAAGTAGATAAGGTGATTGACGAACGAATATTCCATTGTTTAGTATAAAAAGCACTAAATATGAGTGTAACAGAAAGCAATTGGAATTTTTGTATATTTGCAAAAGACATTGAGAAAGAACTTTACCAAAACTTCGAAAAAACAATTAACAACTCTCGAGAAACTGTCGCTAAATTACTTGAAGCTGGCTTTAAAACTAATCGATTAGTTCATGATGGAATAACAATTTTTAATAATGATAATGAGATGGAAGTATTAGTAGAAAAAAATAAGCAATTACGGCATGATATCAACATTAAAATAGGAGAAGTGGAAAGTCAGCAATACAAATACGAAACGTTTAAAAAAGGTTTGTATGTTATTGAGTTACACATCAACAGTGTTATTTTGTTTCTAATTAACAGTGTTATAAATTATCTAACCACATGTGGCCTTAAATTATTTAATATCAATCTGAGCCTGTGGTTGTCTACAGTAAAAAACACTTACAGACTAATGTCATCTCCCAAAATACCATCAAATCTACAGAAAACAATGGACTTGCACGATAGGTAGATAGATAGTAGATAGGAACCAAGAAATCAATAATATAGAAGAACCATCTTGGATAAAATGCTAGAAAATAATAACAATTTACATTTCTATTAATATAACAATGTAAATCAAAGTTATTTTGATGTTGAAGGCTTCAAATTTTCTAACATTCTTGCCTGACGAGTTAAATTTTTCTTCTTCTCATTTAAAATTTCCTAATAGCATGCCAGTAACTTTTTTATTTCACATTTTGTAATAGACACAATCTTGAAATCTATTTTTCTAAAATTTTCTATTGTACTGAAGCCTACTGTTAAGTTTGAAATTGTAATTAGTTTTTCTGCTTCAACAGGGTCTAACAAATAAATTTTATGCAATGTCTTGATCATGCTCACTCATTCCTATTACCTTGTCAATATTATATTCTTCATTGTATTCCTGAAAGTCTTTAATAATATTCAGTCAACTCTCTAAAGACAGTGTTATTCGTTTCTTGTTAATATCAAGTGACAAATTTTTTGGTCTATTAGATGCGCTACATTCGTAAAACCATTGCACATGGAACACATTCAAACTTTTCGTAAACTGAACTTGCCAATGCACATGGAGTACAAAATGACAATTTTGTGTCACTGAATTTTGGTTAAAAGATTTAGAGTATGTAGTTGAGTACCGTAATGCTGGGGTATGCATGATGGTAATTGCTTCTCAATAAAGGTTTATTTTTACAGTTAGATAAGGAAGGCCTTAATGATGAAATGTTTCTTTTTTTATTTCAGACCAAAAGTTACTGTCTCAGGAGATAAAAGAGACCCATGAAGCATTTTTAATGGCAAAGAAGTTTTATAAGAAATATTTAAAGATCTATTATACTATAGAAGCAAGAGATGGTACAAAACAAAAAATATTTGTACAGTTTTTCACTGAATCTAGAAAGGAACCTGAAAGTTATTCTGTACGTCTTCAGCGTGATACAAAATCAGGCTGTTATGAATGTAAGTGAATTCTTTATGGTAATACTTCCTTTTGGAAATACCCTTTATTTTTACTGGTAGGGTTATTAATACCCGTCTTTGAAATAATGTAATTTCTCTAGGTATTAATTATCTCTAAAGTGGGGCATGCTCTCATTGGTGATGCCCATGGATATGTATATAGTCAAAACTGACTTTAGTGACAATTTATATATATCCTACTAATTATAATATTTGATTACATTTAATTAATTATATTGGCTTGTACCATAAGGTACAAGCCAATTTTTACTACACAAATATAGTGACATGTTGTTTAAAATTAAAAACTATTGATTTATCATTTTTAGCTGTACCTACAAAACAATAAACACAATTTTCAAATTTCTTCGATTGAAGGCATGTGTTAACTTATTTTAGCGGACATTTTCCTTTAATATTACCTATATGTTTATTTGTTATTTTATTCGAAAATAAGTTTGGAAGCTCAACTTATTCCCATATTCAGTGGCATATTAAGGGTGGGGCGGAAGGGGCCTCCAAACATATGGATTTTTTTTTTGGCTGAACTATGAGCAGGCTATGCTTAAAGTAAGTTACAGTAGTAGTTTCAATTTTATATATTTTTATTGGTTTATCTTTACAGTGCTCTACACTACTCCAAATCTAAACCTGCTGAAGGAATATCAAAGAAGATTAAAACAAACAAATGATGTCCCTGAACTTTTATGCTGCATAAAACAAGCTTTTGACCTTATTAAATTAAGTAAAAGTAAATAATATTTGAAGTTCTAAGGCAAATGTCAAGCAACAAACAAAACCATTTACTAAAATAAGCAAAGTACATGACGATTTAAGTTAATTTAAATTAAAATAAGTTTCAGGGCAGAACTTATTTTAATAGACCTTATTTTAGTGTAGATGCACCACCTTCTTGGATTGTTTGCACATAAGGGACGTGGATCTAATTGAGGAAGTCGATAGCATAGTGGTTAACGTGTTAGTCTTGCGCGCATGGGTGATCAAAAATTAATAAACTATATGGAGATTCTTCATACTTCAGAAGGCAGTTAAGCCGTTGGCCCAGGCTGCTTCAGCAGTTCTCAACACACCAATCTGTGCCCTTAAAAGGATCGATATTGTTACGCAACAGATAAAACGTCGTAGCAATTGTAGCGTAAAATTAATGCTAAACCTTGTTTATTAATAGCACTGCTAACGTTTACGTAATAACCGCATCTCAACTACTTGCATTTTGTCGTTTACCTGTAGTTCAATATTATTATAATGTCACTGACGTAAATATTAGCAGAATTGGACTACTGGCCGCCGGCTCTGTGTAGCAGCTATAAGAATACAGAAGTGAACTTATAGTATAATGCAGGTGTAGATTTATGCATCTTTAATCATATTATATCTCGACATAGAAGTAGCAAGACCTACAGTCTCCACTCTGATTATTACTAGAGTTAAAAAAGTATCTATCTTTACCAAATTGGCGCAGTGTATGAAAATGCTATAATAAAATATATCGCTGTTATGTGAGAAATGGTGAAAATTAGGAAATGAAGAGAATAATAAAAAAAAACTCTTTAAATTATATCATTTTACTTTGTTAAACACAATATGTTAGTTGTATATAAAATTATCAATTATAACAAAAATAAATATAGTTTCCTATGAGGTAATCAGATGTTTCTCAATAATTCAATTCAACAATACTATTTATTTTGTATTAATTAGGCCAAAGCCACATAGAAGAGGCACCGTTTTATCATCAATACATAGTATAAAACAAAGTAGCTTTACGTCGTCTGTCCCTATGTATGCTTAGATCTTTAAAACAATGCAAGCGATTTTGATGTGGATTTTGTAATAGGGTGTAATAGGGTGATTCAAAAAGGTTTTTATGTATAATAGCAAAGCCCACGCGGGCTAAACCACTCGGCGGAAAAATATAATTAGATGAAAACAAAAAAAGGTGTGACGCATTGGTACTTATGTCAACCAAGAAACTTGTCAGTCATTTATTTTATCTCTAACACTTTGTAAAGTAATACTTCATGCTAGTGCACAACGAATTGAGTTTTTTTTACAGTTAAAGGGATTAGTACGCCTTATCACATACGCGCGGATTGCTATAATACGCACGCACTTAAAGAGACTGAGATTTAAAATTATAATTATAATGTATCTCCAAAGAAAATTAACATTATGAATTTATGATCATTAATGAAACCATAGTGTTTAACATTACCTTATTGTTTTCATCTAAAATCATCTAAAAAGTTGGTGTAATAATTAGGAATTATGGAACATAGGTGAAGGAGATAAGACAGTCTAGGTTGGATTAAACAGGCTTACTCTTAACGCAATTTCAATCCAAACCAATGACGATCTCAATATTCAACAATTTTTAGACCGTATGATTCTTGTCATTTAGTTTCTACAATAACCACGGAATATTGAACCAAATGGTGCTGGTGTACCGAATCAATATTACTTAAGAAACTTCACAATTGCAACGTAGATCGATCGCGTTCATGAGTAAGCATGTTGGTTGGGATTGCTATCAGACAAATGCTCAAAACCTGTATCTAAACCACAGGAACTGTTATAATTTGTGCAAATTTCTTCATGTTACATTCTTACTACATTCAGGTGGCCGAACAGAGAGAATTTTGCACAATGACCCGGCATTACACATCTCCTTCAATCTAGCTAATTTTGTCAAGTAGTGAACCTAAAATGTTAATGATGCGATATATCACTATCAAAAGGCACAAAGGACAACGTACGAATTTCTATCTGGTCGGCGAACGGGCTGGGCTATACAATAAGTTTATGTTGCATTGTTATTTAAAATGAAACATACAAATGTATGTAATTTATTTGTATCTATCTAATCGGTTTTGTGGTTCATAAAAAAGTAAACTAACCACATTAAAATAAAAATCCAAATAAACTTAAAAAATAATTGTTATAATTACATTGTACAATTAACGTCGAAACTCCAAGCTACTAAGAGACCCTGGTAATTTGTTCCTAATTGGTTAAAAACATTGCAAAATGAACAAAATAAAATTCAAGAGTAGCGCAATATTGGCGAATACTAATCAATCACAATAATTTTAATTTGGACTCCTTATAATTGACATTTGCATATTAGAACATTCTTCAGTCAAAAAGTGCTATAATGATAACAAATAATATAAAATTACTGTTTTAACATACTACCCAAATAAAATTGGATATCTCGTTATTGTGTTACCAGCGTTTACAGCACTGAATGCTTTAATATGCTTATAATTAGTAGGGTATATATAATTTGATTAACATTCATTAGATAATTTTATAATTAATCATAGGGTTATGAATTGTGAGTAACTAGCATGTTTCAACAAAATCCGAACGCTGACTACACTTAGTTACGTGTACATTTCCGATTTAAATACACATTATTAGAAATCATAAACAAATCATTATTAGCTAACTAATATTGATATGATAAAGCACAACACTTATTATTAGATTGGCAAAGTTTATCTGCAATCTATTCACAACATGGTGACGTTAAAACAGTCTCAATAACCTGCAGTACATACAATGATTTTGAATTAACACCATACTTCCACTCTGACATTTAACTATAAGGGTCAACTCATACTAGCTTAGAAGCGTATCAAAGCGTCAATCGGAAAACTAAAATAGCAAATTCAACCTAATCTCAAGAACTTAATGTTCATATTTTACAAAGTCCTCATGTTTTCGCAGCTCATCTTCCAAAATCGATTTTTTCGTTATTTGAGATGTTACCCCTAATTATAATCATTCCATTATTACGGGTGACTTTAATACTTAATTGTCATTAATCAATTAACTGAGTGTCACGTTGAGATGAACATAACTTGCTGTAGGGGACACCAGGCAAAATGAAGCGCGGGGTAAGACGGGAAGTGTGCTTCTGTGCGTAAATAATGACCCGAACAGAGCCTCAAACAGCGCCATTCGCACGATGTTCAGTCACGTCACACGAGTCCGAGCGGTGCGTACATGTCTGTGCGTGTTTCGGCTGCGCAGCGAATAAAAACAGTTTTTCGAAGGATTTTTAAGCAGTTTTTTGTTTTTCATTGATGGGCATCAAGGTGAGTAACAGTGTTATTGTAATATGTGCGTCACATACTTGTTGTAGTAATGTTGAACGAACTAATTTATATTGCTTTTTCTCTGAATTAGTTTATAGGTTAGAACTGTTATTACTTTTACAATATATGTCTCTTGGGGCAAAATGGTTGGGGCATAGGGGGATAGTATCCCGTCTTGCCCCATACGTGTAAGTAGAAAAATGTTTCATACCTTACTTTTTGTTTGCAGTTAAAATGGTACGAAATTATTGAAAAACTGATCGTGGAACATAGGAAGAAGACGATATCAGAAGAGCGGTTAGAGCTGTGCTTTCTGAGACAATGGGATTATGTCGAGCTTCAGCCACATATAACGTACCTAAATCGACCTTGGAACGACGAGTGAGAAAAGCTCGATCTGCTGAAGATACTGACACTGATTCAGATAATGACTATGGGAAAAAAAAATTACGTCGTTTCAAAACAGTTTTCAATAAAGAACGAACAACATTTGTCTGAGTATATTAAAAGAACCCATATTGAGAATCCATTCGACGCAGAGACTGGAATGGCTGGAGAAGATTGGCTCAGTGGATTCTTAAAAATGCATTCTGAACTTTCATATAGACGACCAGAGCCAACTTCCGCTGCGAGGGCTATGGCTTTTAACGAAGTTGCAGTAAATGAGTTTTTTACATTGTTGGAAAGAGTTGTAGAAGAGCATAGCCTTACGCCTGACAGAATTTATAACGTTGATGAGACCGGCATCGGCAAAAACCAATCTTGTTGCTCCTGGACGGTCATGCGTCACACACCAAAAATATTAATTTAATTGATTATGCAAGGGAGCATCACGTAATCCTGTTTTGTACGCCACCCCATTGCACACACAAATTACAACCACTAGACATGGCATTTACGAGGCCACTCAGCACGTACTATAGTGCAGAAGAAAAAAAGTGGCTAAAAGACAACCCTGGAGCTTATCTGCAATCAGCGACGATGTTAACGGCAATAAACGGATTTAGAAAATGTGGTATATGGCCACTTCATAAGAATGTATTCACAAAAGCGGACTTCATAGCGGCTGAAACAAAAAACACTGAGACTTTGCCGTCCGAAAATGTAAATCTTGAATCAACATCTCAGGCCACGCATTCAACACCAGCTATATCGAAAGAAACCCAATGTGAACCAACTATTCTTGCACAAAAAGATATTTCTGCTGATCCTGCAGTCATGAAACCAAAGAGCACTGAGTTTTTGCCTCAGCCTTCGACATCTGCTCACTTAGTTAAAGAAAAGACCTCTGAGAGACAAATTCAGCCAGCAAGATCCCCGTTTGCCGTGACACCAGAAAATATCATAGCTATACCAAAATAATTAAGAACGCAAGAGAGAAAAACCAGAAAACGCGGTAAAACTGCAATCCTTATCTTCTCTCCGTACAAAAATGATTTAATTAAAGATATGAATAAAAATCACAAAATAAAAAGACTGAGAATAAAAGACTTGAAAAAAAGAAGCCGGAAAGTAAGAATAAGAATAAAAAACGCAAAACAGAAAATGACACGGATACTAGTCCATCTGATAGCAATGAAAATGATTGTCCTTGCATATATTGTGAGTATTCACAGTCCGGTGAAGGATGGGTTTTTTGTAACGTGTGCCATGGCTGGGCCCACAATTCTTGCGCAG